AAATAATTTTTTTTTTAAGTCAAATAATTTGTTTAAACCATTACATTTCAATACTCGTTAAAATTTATTTTCTAAAAGACATATGATAACCCTTATTTTCGATTTCAGCCTTATGCATCATCGGTGTTTTATATTTTGCATTGAATGCTCGCAGCCAAAATTGCTTATGGCTCAAATAACGGTACATATGTATGCATATGTATGTTTGTTGCAATATTTAAAATAAAAAGAATTCACAACAATTGTGAATTTTCTCTAAATTGGTAACTTTTGAGATGGTCCTTGTGTACATGCGATATTTTTCGTCAGCTTCTTTTCAAATTAATCAACAGTTTTTTTTCATATAATTTGCATTCATTTATGCTGTGTTTTTTACTAAGGCAATTAATTAGGTGCCTTAGGTTTCAATTTCACTAATTATTATGTCCATCTGCGCATTCGTATATTTTTTCCATAGTTTTGTTTTCTTTTTACTATTATTTACTTAACGTGCTTTTTCAAAAATTATTATTTTTTACTTTACGCTACTGTTTGTTTATTATTGTTTTTCAAACAAGCACTAACCATATTTTTGAATTTCGAGAACCAGTTTGTAAATTAGTTAAAAAAAAAACTTATAGAAAATTAGTAAAAGAAACTCTAAGCAAACTAATTGTTTACTTAAATTCTTTATTGTTTATAACCATTGTTCATTTTTTTTTTTTTGATATCTTGCGGATCGCTGCCGCTCTTCCTTTTGGATAACTCGTTGCTACGTATTCGTATACGAATTCATTCGATTGGTGAATTATCTGAAACATTCAATGCTCAAAACTAAAACAAACAAACAAATCTTGCAATTCTAAAAGGATTTCGAGGTACTGAAAATGTTATTATTTTATTTCTCTAGAATACGAAAAAAATATGAAAAGTATAACTGCAGTTAATTTAAAATAATTAAAAAAGACTACTAAACAAAAACCAAGCTACATAACTCGTACAAAAATACAATTTTTAGTTTCGTTTCGAATGAAAAAGTAGCTTTTATTTACTCGTATATAACTATTAAAATACCATATAAGCCCTTTGTTTGAATTTGTTTAGTTAAATTTTTCATTTGGTAAAGCCTAAAACTTAGTGTCACCAAAAATAGACTATTCGTACATAAGTTGTTGAAGCCTAACTGTCTTCGAAACACGCTCACTCACTGACCACACGCTTGCTAAATATATGTACTTCACAACAATTTTCAAAAATTAGTAATGTACGCATTTTTAAGTTGTTGTTCTAATATAAATAGTTACTTAGTAAACATTTTAGCGTGGCGGCGGAACTACTAGTTCAGCGCTAATTAGTAATAGTTAAATTAAAAGCGTTAAAACTGTTGATTTCGTAAAACTTTATTTGTTCTAAACACTTTCGTAATACTTCGTGTAATGCGAAAACTCTAAACACCAAAATGCTGCAAAAACTGCAAAAAAAAAGTATATGCCAAATAGACAAAAAGTTATGCTTTTATTATTATGAGTATTAATTTAAAATTAGTAAGTAGCTAAAAGTTTTGCAACTGCACTATTTTTTAAGTTTCACTTCTAATTGTGTATTTTATGCGCCATAGCAATTTACAAAAAAAAAAAATATAAACAATTTTAATTTAAATTTTAAATATCTACAAAATTTTCTCGACATTATTATGAAAATACTTTACCAACATGGTTTAATTGTTCAGTATACTATAATGAAACACACGCCTGGCGCACCTTGTATATAAATGAGATATATTCTAAATGTCTTCCTTATTCAATACATCTTTTTCCGCCTACTTCTCCATAGTACCAAAGTAAAACTATTTTATAGTGTATACGCCAAAATTAGTGATTTTAATACAAACTAGGAAAGATCTACGAATTATGAAAGGATTAAAAATATGTTGGAAGGAAAAACACCTCCCTCACCAAAAACAAAAATCCGGCAGTCTGGTATGTTAAGGCGTTAGCGGTAGCCAGAGATTTTATTTTATAAAATTAAAAATATTACATCGTTAAATGAACGTTTCGGCTTGATTTGACCGAAATTTTAAAGAAAATAATAATTTTAAAAGTAATAGCTGTTTGTGTTAATCCAGTTCCTACCGCAAGTGCTTGAGGTGACCATGACTAATCCTTGGAGATTTATCTAAAAACAATTACACAAAAAAAAACTAGTTTTGAAACGTTTTTTTTTTGTGTTTTTAATTAACAAAAAGGTGGTCAGGAAATTTATTTCCATATTTTCGGGAAAACTCCATCAGTTCATTGTTCTTAAAGAACTGAAATAGAACCATGCTTCGATCAGCGAGTAGTTCTTCATAAAGTTCATACAGTGTCTAAAAAACTGTATACAATGGTCACCAGCTTAAAAAATAAAGTTTAAAATAAACGCATTTGAAGTTTTATACCTATGGTACGTTTTAGAGCGCCCGAGAACCCCTCGCTAATTATAAAATAACTCAAAAAGTATTTACCAAAATTTACTTCAAATTATCAGAAAGTAATAAAAATTTCTGTCGAATTATTTGTCAATTTATTGATGCTAATTTTTTTTTTCATTTGATTACCATTTTTGTTTACTATTTTGCTTTACACTATTATAGTTATGGTTCGAAACACAACTAAGCTGGTTTGCAGGGGCGCTTCTTGACTTGACTCGTTAGATAAATCTACTAAAATATTTGAATTATAATCTGTAAATGTACTTCTTGTATTGTTAATTTTTCGACATAGAATCTCTTTATATTTTACTAAATTTCATTTTAAATGGTCGCTAGTGAATCAGTTAAAATGGGTTATAAAATTGTGAAGCTATTCATTTCAGTTCGCGTTTGATTTCAGCGTCAAAATTATTTTTTCAGCAAGAATACATTTCAAAGAATGATGCAACTGGTAATCGCATACGTAACTGTTAAATACACGCGGCAGAAAAATAGGTTAATATGTTTTTGAATATGCTTTTAAGATTAAACGTGTTCAGGGCAAATTGATAGCAATAAGCCATTTATATTCTCCATTTTGCTGCTCGCGTTGCTCTGCTGCTGCGCTTTCAAAACAAATTAAATGTAAATGCAAAAACAAAGTGTTCGAGTTGAATTCGTACAAGAGATTTTTTGGATAAAGTGGTATAGCCAATATGTTCAATGCTTCCGAATTTTGTTATGCATATTTTAGATCACTTTTACTATTGCTAATGTTACAAACGACAAATGAAAATACAAATTTTTTCTTGTATTTTTTAAATTTATTACTTAAAACCAATTAATGTAATTTATAGAAAACAGAACTAAAGGGATTCTGAAACATTTTTTAACGCGAAAAAAACAATTTCTCTCTAAGAAAGAATCATAACAACCGTCAGAAGACATGCTAACGCAGGGTTGCACTACAAGCACTGCTCGTTTGTTTCGGCATCCGTGTATTTGGTTCGATACGCTGCTTGGCGAATCGAAGACTGCTAATATTTCTACAGCATTAAGACTATTGAAATCTTGAGTGGATAGAATAGAGTATAATTTAACTTTATAATAGCATTGTTTCCATCGAAATGTAGGAAAACGTCTCTAATCGAAGGAAGTGTTTGATTTTAGAAGAGATCAGTTTGCACATTTACGACGAAAATTTTCAAAGTTTGATGATAAGAACTTACATTCGATTCATTATCAAGCTTCAAAGTCAATAAGGGCTGCTTTGAAAGGGCAGTATTGAAACATTACTGTTATTTGGTAAATAATTTTGTAACAGCTGATGTTCCTGTGAATATTACCACATACTGCTGTTTTTCTTATATATACGAACATTCTTATCTATGGTTGCATAATACTAACAAATAGTTAAATGAACTGATTCAATTGTAGAGATTTTACTTTCAGCATATGTGCCTATTAAAAGTAATTTAGAAATAAATTCTAATAATTGTGGATCCACATGCTGTGCAAAATTAATTTCGAAAAAAATTATCTAAATAGTATTCATTTAAGATCGGCTATACGCGGTTGTAGCGGTGCTTACGCCAATAAAAAAGAAGAAGCATTTAATGTTCCGAATACTTGTTGAACGAATAAAAGCTCTTGTCAAGCAACCACGAGTGGTATCTTTAATACTTATCATAGATATTTTCAACAGCAGTGAAATGATACGTGTAAATAAAAAGCAGTTCTGAAACAAATAGCACAATGACTTAGCGACCCATTGCCAGTTAGTATGTTTAAACCACTAAAGTAAATGTACTTAGTCAAGTCATGTGCGCTTGTGTTTCTATTATTTATAATTTCAATAGAATTGTTACACTAAAGACGTACACATTAATCCTCCAAATATATATTTAATTTCTTGCAAATATGTGATGTCAAATACATTAAAACATTACAAAACTAAAACAAAGTTGAAATTCGTTAGTAGTGAATAATTATTATTGGAGTATGCATTTTTGCAAAGGAATTTCAAAAATATTAAAGTTACCAAAACAAAACAAAAAAAAAAAAAATGTATGTTATGATTTTTCAGTTGTATGCTTGTGTATTTAGTTTGTTTAGAAAGTTTTTAAACAAGTAGCTTGTAGTTGAAATTAAAAAGTTACATTATTTGCAAACGTTTAAAAAGTTATTAGTAAAAGTACTACGTTTACGAAAAAAAAAAATAGAAAATTTATTAAATCAATACATATATACATATTTTGCATTACTGAAAACGAACGTTCTATCACTCTAAAAATTATTTATTACTCTACTATTCTAAAGCTGTTTACTATTTTCACTTATATAATTAGCATATTTTGTTTTTTATTTTTTTTTCAAAGTACCACCTAGTTTATCACAAAATAATTAAATTTCCGAATTCGCATTGTTGAATATATAATTTGTACAAGTTATTATTGGCCAACACATTAGAAACAGACTTATTGTCGCATGCCGAGTTAATCAGTTACAAGTTAAGAAGTTAAAAAAAAATGTATACATAAGCCGAAAAAATCGTAAAATAAATTAATAGTAATATTATTTTCTATAGCATTCTTTGAATTACTATCACGTTAATAACTATGGTATTACACAAATTGTACCACTTCAGCTTCAACAATGGCATACGCTTTCTAACTAACACAAACATTACGTTCACAACGTGTTGGAATTAAATGTGTGTATACAAACATTAGGCGACAATTGAAACTAGACAAAGTTGCAAGTTGAAATCAGCATACATTAAAATATTTTTTACTACGAGTTGGTTGTCACTTTTATGAAAAGCGTTTGATGTTGTGATATCGTTAAGCATTTGTTATAAGCTAAACTTATTTGTAATATTTGTCGTACATAGATAAATTCTAAGAGAAACAAAAACAGAATGGAAAAGGTTACAAAAAAAAAGGAGTTTGATAATCATTTATTGTTATTTCTATTTAAAATAATAATAATTTTCAAGATATTACAATAAAAAATTAAAAATATTTATATAATATAGTAAAATAAAATGTGCATATTTTGTTGAAAAAAATCTTCGTATGACTTAATGCGGTAGCTTCGATAAAAATAACATGGAAACACAAGCAAACTTATTTTAGCAAATTTAAAGTTAGTATAACAAAAAAACTTATTTAATCAAACAGTTTTAACGTTAATAAAATAAGTAAACAAATGCCGCGAAAACACGCAAAATTATTATTTTATAAAAGTCTTTAAATTTAAGCTTCGAGTTTAAAAAATACCGCGAAATCACTTAAATATATTCCTTAATAAAAGTTTTTTATTTAATTTAAATTTAAGCTTCAAGTTTAAAAAAGAATTGCCGCTGCACCTGCACCAAATTAATTATTACATACTTGTATTAAAGCAGCTTTCAATTATCGCTTAGTGTATGCATACTATATATCGAAAACAGTTTACACACTCACTGCGTTGTAGACTCACCGTTCAATCACTTCCAACGCCCCCTAGTATGCTACGCAGCCGCTTATTTTTGTCACCTTGAAGCAGTTTCAATACATAAGTAAATAAATCACAACAACAACAACAACACAGCTCACTATTTTTAGTATCGTAAATGACTATAAGACTTAAGCTGTTTGTTGTTATATTTGAATTTAATTTCTGTTGTTAGCCTTAGTCGCCACCAAAGCATAGCTTACCCAATAGCTTAAGACAATTTCTTGGTATATTTTTGATTTTAGACCATCTCACAAGTGCTAATTAGAATTGAATTATACCTGTACTATGCTAAAAAAGGAAAACAATGAAATCCAACAAATAATCATATACAGTTTTCTTTTTTGGAATTTTAAACCCTAGCTTGCGTTTTGTTTATGTTCTATATAATTAAAATGATAACACGCATTTGGTGTATGAAATAATCATAGCATTTATCTTAATTTTTTTTTTTTATAAATTTTCCATACTTTTTAGCGTTTTTAGATATTTTTCAATTTTTCTAAATTATTATCTTTTTTTCACTGTTTTCTTTTTAATTTTTGTTTATTTACGACTTTTTTCTGTAAATTTTTTAAAGTTTTTGCCAACTTTTTTTTCTTCCCTATCAATTTGATTTTTAAATATCACTACGCTAAAAGACATACATACTCGTACATATAAATTAATAAAACGCTTTGCTCATGCACGGTATTAGTACAAGCGCGCCTACTTGCTTCGAAAATACCGCAAGCTGCCGGCAAATGGCTACGTTAGTGCGTGTTCGCCTACAAGTACATAATTTTGCGCCCTAAAATATTATTTTACAAAATTTTCGAGTTGTTAATATTGGCCTGTTGATCTGTTTTTTCTTTTTTTTTCATTTCTGTAAGCTTTCCTTTATTTGCGCTTTTTATTTAGCATTTGTTTTGCTTTTGATTTAGCTATCCGTCTATGCCATGGCTTTTTATGTATATCTATGTACCGTATTTTAGTTTAATAGTCGCAGCGTCGCTACTTAAGTCTGTGCTTAGCTTAAGCTTTTGTAAATGCATTAGCAGCGCGTTGAAACGCTTATAAGTGAATTGGTATGCAAAGCTTAGTTTTATTTTTGTAAAGCTTCTGTGCGCATAGCTCGCTGGCAAAAAAAAGTAAATTTTTGTTTTGTTTTTATTTTAAGAAATAAATTTTGTTTTTGTTTTTTGGTAGCAACAACTCTAATAAATAGCTAAAAACTGCATGTCCTGTTCTCAAACGAAAATAATCCACAAAATTACACACACACATAACAAATTGTTTCAACAGTGAATAATTAATAAAGCTATAAATTGCTAATAAATTGATTTAGTGTTTTTTTTTTGTATATTGAAAACAATTTAAAATATTTTAAACATGTTGTTACCGTTATTGCAGTTCTTCGTGCGGCTGGATCACATACGAAAGTGCTTTACGCAGATGGGCGGCATTTTCGTGCTGGAAGAGTACAGTAAGTATCTTTTTATATATATATTTAGCTTTAATTAAAAATGGGGAACACTTTTAGTACTTACCATGTGGTTGATTTCGAAAATTAGAAATGGCATGCACTACTTAAGTTTAATCGCAATCGGTATTTCGGGTCCCGAGATATGTGATTTCATCCAAGAGTTGGCGGTGCCACACCCTTCCTCCAATTTTCACGCTGGCTTCCATTAAACCTTCTCATACCATCTCGGAGATATAATTTAATGTTTCTGTCGTCATTAGTTATTGATTTATTGAGCTTTTTGTTGTTTTTAACAGTACTGTCACATGGGGAATAAGCGGGATCATCTTTCGTTTGTTGTAGCTTTAGTAATTTCGTAATTTTATTTATACTAAGAAACCCGCATACCAAGTTTCATCAAGATATCCCAATTTTAACTCAAGCTACAGCTTGCATGGACGGACAGACAAACAGTCATCAGTTATCAACTTTTTCGTCATCCTGACCATTAACTATATATATTATATATTAGGGTGTTTTTTATAACTATTAATTTTTTTCAGTCCCGTTATGAAATTTCCTTTTAAATACCCTAAAAAACGTTTCCTGAAAATTTTAGCTCTAAATATTAACATTAAGAACTGGACCAAGGCTTGTAAAACTTTTTCATAGAAATACACTACAATCGTGAGTTTTTATCTTTAAATTCCTACAGATGAGAGGTATTTTATGGCATCGCTTTGACTTTAAACGCATATTTCTCAGAATTGTTCACTCTAAAAAAGTGCCCAGTGCAACAAAGTCGTAACTCACACCGACGAGGTAGTACGGGGCTCTAAACCCGATTTTTCCAAGAATTTCGCATTTTTTTGTATATATCTCGTAATTGACCAGAGCTATAGCAAAAATTTACATGACAAATTTGTAGGAAATTTATTTTGCTATAAAAAAGTTTCGAGGTCAAAATCGCTATCATTAATACTTCTCGAGATATTCGGCTTTTTAAGTAAGGCTTTATAGAATTTTGATGGTTGATGGTATGTATTAAAAAATCTATGAAAATTGCATACTACAATACTTTTTACCTAAAGAATTAGCAATCAATTGTTTACAAAAGTTGCTACAACAGCAAAAAACGGGTCAACAGACGAAAACTAATTTTTTCAGCTCAATGTTCCAACATTATTTAATGGTTTTAGGACGCTATAGTGTACTTAAAGGCAAAGTAATATTTATCGCTTCTCTGAAATTTCTAAACTGACCAAACCACTCAAAAAAAGTGTACCTAACGAAGTCCTTTGGCTCAATCATCTTTTCATTTCCCAAATACTTGAAGTTTGCTTATGAATATGCGGTTAGTTTCAAAAGAGTCTCGTCGATGTACAGGTCCGTTTCAAATGCGAAAGGTCAGTATTTTCACACGATGTTTCAGTGTGAAGTGATTCATCGTAAGAATCGTATTGCGTTGAAGTTTTTAGTAGTAATTGAACGCTAAGAATAAAAGCTCATTATTATTAATTATTAAAAAATTGTCAGAAATAATCATTGAAACCATAATTGCAATTGTTTACTATACTATCATTTGTACGTTATAATTTCGAAAAATAATGACAGAAAACTAGCAAATTCATCTACCTATAGTAACATTGCGTATCAATGCATCAATAAGGCTACTTTTCACTAATTCTTTTCTACTGGCGTAGACACCGCTTACAGGGTTATAGACGAGTTAGCGTTAGCGTTTCTTCGTTTCGTTATTTGGCGTCAATTCAAGTAATCAAGTGCTGAAATGTTCTCTTCCATCCGAACAACAACCAGCCAGCTTCTTTCGTGACGGAGGTTTTTGTGGTGCTCAGTCAGTCAGTTTACACAGTCGTATTAGCTTGGCGGGAAATCAAGTTCAGACATAGCGGCAGTTTCGTTTCGACCTCTGAAATCGACAAAGGGATAGTGTGTGATTTTCCTTTTACGGGTCTTTTCCAAGATTTGGCGCATTCAGGTCGGTGGTAGATTTTCCACGTCTAAAGTAACACTGAAAAGGTCCAATAACTTCTAAATAAGACTTATAAGGTCTTATGCCGATTATTGGCGCAGATCTCCGCCCTTTTGAAGATGGTCATCCGACCGACGATGGACATCCGACGAAAGAAGTTGCAGCTTGTACCTTGTCAGTTCTTCGTCGCCGTACTTCAATAGCTCGGCCGGTAATCCATCGGCCTTGTCGCTTTGTTGTTCTTCAAACGGGTAATTTTCATCGAATTTGACGTAACACGTTTAGAAACAGAGATTGCGAAACTTATACCCCGTAACATTTTATGACGATTGTTTTAGCAGAAAAATACATTTCACGACATAAAGCATTTCTATACAAGTTTTAATGCATATTTTTATTTTTTTTGAATTTTCATTATTTTTATAAAATGTGATATAAATATCGCTAGTTCCATATTGTTCACAAAATACTTTTAAATTTGAAAGTCGTTTTCATTACTGAGTCAGTTATATATACGTCCTTCATCTTTTTCAAGCCGGCTTTAAAAAAGCTTGTGTAATTGCTGCTAGCACGCAGCTTCAAGCTATAATGAAATACAATCGTTTTAAACACTTTTCCACGCTATAAATATTATTGTATTTTGTTTGGAATCAATTTCGGTGAAAAAATATGTATTTAAAATATGCTATTGTCTCTTAAAGACTAAAAGGGAAATTTTAACTCTTCATTGCAGATCCGAAAACACGGCATCTTATTCAACGAAAGTATAAATCAACTTTGGTAAGTATGCAATTTATAAAGTTAGTTTCTGTCATCAGTTGGTACAATACTTAAAGCCGCTTATTTAAGAATATTTATGGACTTGACTATATTATACAATAAAAACTCTGTAAATTCATACATTTTTTCAACATTTGTCATACTCATTTCTCCCAGTTATTTTTTGTACACCATACTAATATATTTCATAGGATAAATGTAATAGCAATTTGTAGTGTAAATTTAATCACAATGCTCAGCATAAAATAACTTATAACATACCCGTGTAAAAAATTGGTTTTGAGATAACTTCGTTAACTCAAATAAATTATGAAACCATTTTTTCCACCCGTTTTTTATACTCTCACAACATATGGCTAAAGATTATGAGAGTTTTGTATATAGGAGCGAATCACTCGGAAAGGTTTTTTCATGCCAGCAATGACTTTTCTGAAACATTCCAACCATACTCTAAATACTGTCTAATATCATCAAACATCGGAGTGTAAGAGTTTCGTTGCTAGTAGCGACAGTCTCGGAAAGATTTCAGTCAGCAATGACTTTTGTGAAAAATCCTATCCTCGAAACTCTAAATACAATAATGTCAAATATTATTAGCATCCCTCCAAGTCACCTATCGGCCAAATAACCTGTTAGCTACCTAATAGCATTACTGTTAAATTTTCTATGAGTTTCTTGAAATCAAATTAGCCTAGAAAGTCGTGACTATTCGAAACACCAATACTTTTCTCAGAAATATACACTTGAAAAACTTGAATTGTAAAATGAAAATTTAGCTGGTTTGGAGAGTTCACTTACTAAAATATTTTTATTATGTTCATATATACATACAGGCCCCGGAAGAATGGTAATATGTGCTTATATGAGCTTGGCGATTTTAGTTTGATGGAAGGAATGGATAAAAAAATTAGTTGGCGAATTCTTGGTCAAAAACAACACTGTAACGACACCCCAACCGTCATATACGCCTGGCATGACACCGTGAGGCTTTTTGCCATTTCGAAAGATATAAAGAAATTGAAAAGGCTGCCATTTTATAAGCATAGATGACATTTAAAGCTATCCCAAAAAGAGCTTGAGATTTATTTCGACATTTTGGAAGTGAATTAAATCAAATGGGTACTATTTTAAACTCGACAACATTAATGAATATTTTTTTTTATCAAAAAACGAAAATTATCACCTCGCACATTCCAAACGCCAAATAAAAAAATAAAAAATCAGACGAAAACGAGCTTTAGATATATATATTTTTTTAATTGGAGCTTAACAAACTCATAGCACCTTAACGGAAATCTATGGTAGGACACTCTCGAAATTAACGTCTGATTTTACAATTAGTTGACTTGCTGGATATATTTCAAGTATGTTCAATAACCGCAACAAACTTCACCTGAAACAAAAACAGCATAAAGCTAATGAATGTATAATATAATCATAAATTTCGCTTTTAGAGTATGCCCATATTTTTGATTAATCTCTTCCTTAAGGAGGGAGCCTGGTTCCTTTTATTTTCTTGATAAATAATCAACAGTATTTTAAACACCTTCAGGGAAATTTTAGTATATGTCTGCTTACAAATAAAACGAACGGAATGGAATGAGAAATCAGAAAAGCTCTTCGAATCAGTTAATAAGCTAACAATTTACTTATTTATAACAGGATATGTATTTTTTTTTTGTATAAAGAAATGCTTTTAAGATTATATTTTGAAGATACTATATAATTAAAAATTAATATATTTTATTTTTCACCTTTTATTGTTTATGGTGTATCTTTCTTTCATATATTTATATGCATACTCACACCACTGCCACCACCACCACCACCATCACAACCACAACTAACAACACCAACTAACTATACTCGTACATAATCACATCACATCACAATCAAAACATTACCGTTATTATAATCGTGTGTGTGTGTGTTTTCTGCATGTGCTTGTACAAATGAAACTCATTGCGCTCTTTGAAAATGTTGCATTAAATTTCGCTACACAAACTTACATATCTTCACATTTTCAACGAACAAAAAAATACCTTGAACGTCGTCATAAAAAAACAACAACATGGAATAAAAGGTGCCAGTTGAGCACATACTCATTTATTTCACACGTATACTCTCGATCGCTTACGAATTGCACCTCCAAAAATTGCAAACCGGCGCAGTAGTACTATTTGAAGAGCCCTTGATAGGTACTGAGGCGATTGAAGTGGTAGATGATCCGCAGTTGGAAGTAATTGAGCTGAACGAAATTGTTGAGCAGGTAAAAGTTATCGAGCTGACTACAACCGCTGAGCAGATGGAAGATACAAAAAGGGTTGAAACTGCCAAGACGGTTGAAACTAATGAGCAAACAAAAGCTACTGAGCACGTGAATGCTACTGAGCAGGTGAAAGTTACTGAGTACGTGAAAGCTATTGAGCACGTGAATGCTACTGAGCACGTGAAAGTTACTGAGCAGGTGAACGCTGCTAAGCAGGAGAAAACGAATGTGCCGGTTATAATTACAGAGCAAGTAGATGTTACGGAGCTAGTGGAAGTTATAAAGCAGGTGAAAGCTATTGAGCTAAATAAAGTTACTGAACCAGTCGAAGCTTCTAAGTTGACTGGCGCTACCCAACTAACAGAAAACGATAAGATAGCTACAGCAGAGCAGGTGGAAGTTACTGAATTGGCAGAAGCTATTGAGGAGGTGAAAGAAATTAAGTTAACCACAGCTACTGCGCAGGAGAAAACCATTAAATGGACGAAAGGTGCTAAGCCAGTGGAAGTTGACGACCAACAGAAAACTACTGAGCAGAAGGAAGTTACTTTGCAGGCAACAATTACTGAACAATTAGCAGTTCTTGAAGAGGAAAAAGCTGCTGGGCCAGTGATAGCAACACAGCAAGCAGAAGATACTGAACAGGTGAATGCTCCCGATTTGGTGAAATCTGCTGAGCAGACGAAAGCTAATGGACAAGTGAAAGCACACGTGCAATTGACAGCTTCCAAGCAGGAGAAAGCTCTCGAGCAGGCGAAGGCTCCCGAGCAGGCGAAAGCTCCCGAGCAAGCGAAAGCTCCCGAGCAAAAGAAAAACTATTAATCATGCGAAACCAAATAAACGGTTTCAAGTTGCCGAGTCTGTGGAAGCTATTAAACATATGGAAACTACGCAGCAATACGTATACTAAAAGCAAAGCCTGTTGTACTACGATCTTTGTCAGAAATTAGTAGGAATTAAACTTAAAAAAAATGTTGCACTGTGATATATCTGAAAGGCAACTAGTTTAAGATATTTGCAGTCTATATTTTACGTCAATTCTTGAAGTAGCACGTACATCAATATATATTTATTAAAAATAATTATGTAAAAAAGAAAAATGCTGCCTCATTTTGAGTTTATTTTATTTAAATTTATACAATCCACACACTGAAAACAAAATCTTAATTATTTCAATATTTCATGTATGTACATTAAGCCTTGCTGCCTTTTAATGCCAAGCAAAAATATAAAACAGTCACAAAAAAGGTTTTATAAATTTTTATACTCTAAAATATTTCTAAAAATTATTTAAAATAAAATGGAAAAGTAAATTTATAGAACTCAAAAAGTGTGAAAAATATTATATATAATTATATAGTCTGCTTGCCTTGTGTATAGCTTTTATATTACTATTGTGTTATTATTAAATAAATGCTATTCAAAATTGTTTATAAAACACAAGAAAGCTAAAAATGTGTTTCCTAATATAAATTTGTACATATGTGTTTGTGCACACGTATCTATGTACATATGGGTACATATGTTTGTAAATATTATTTTCGAGGGTTTCATTTGCATTTCTACTGTGGAAATTTTGAAAGTATATATAAGGGATTTTGATTCAGAATCGTTGACAATTAAATTTCGTTTTGTTTTATAAATTATAGAAGTGATAACAAATATAAATTTTTACAAAAAATAGTAATTTTGTTATTATATTATGCTATAGTACCGCATTTCTTGTGCCTTTCTGAAGCGCAATTAAATATTTCGTTTTATTTTTTGGCGTAGACGCCACTTACACAATTCAATTTTAATATTGATTTTGACATTAGTTTTGAGAGTCCGGCAACACTGCTGTTTTAATGTTAAATTGACATTTTTCCAAGTCCCTACAAATATTGGTCTTAAGTTTTTATTTTCATATCTGATAGATACAGATTACAGTATCTAGTAACTTTCAGTCTCTTTTTTTCAGATTACAGTTATTATCTTCTCTTTTTAGTCTCTTTCAGAGAAAGTTCACTTTACTGACATTTACATTAGGTTAGGTTAGTTTGGCAGTCTCGTGACCCACGCTTAGCCCAGTTTTGGTCTTTGGCGATGATATTAACTCTCTAAAAGTTGTCATCCAGCTACATCAGTTTTTATTCTTCTTCCTCTTCTTCTATTCATTGTATTACTTATGGGGTCGAAATAAAATATAAGTAATATAATCGTCTGATGATGACGATCATGATTTTATATGTATTTTTGCGAGTTCTTCTGGTGTGGTAATATATATGAATATATTCAAATTCCATATATACTTGTGATATACATATGTATAAAAGTATATTTGACTATATAATACTTTTATACACATGTATACGTATATATATTCCATAAATAGAGAAATAAAATAAAAATTCATACCTTTCAAGCCTCGAGAAAAAGGCACGAAAATCAATCATTTATAAAACACGTTCTTGAAGTTGCTTTAAAAGATAATAATTTTTGGTCACATTTATTCAGTATGATATTAACACAGATTTTACAAACATTTTTTTCTGTCAGATTTTAATTTTTTTAGGGTAATTTTTAAAAATTTTCAAATTAAATAGGAAAAATATTTTTTTTTAAGTTTCTTTTGTGACTAGCCTTAAGACGTACTGCATACAGAAAATATAACGGTACTATCAGCATATTCGTTGATGTGACATTTTAAGGGCTGTTGTTTTAAAACTACAGTGGGAGACGAGTACTGTTGAGACCAGAAGTAGAATCTAGTGGTTTTGCAACAATTTACTTCTGAAATATTATAAACGATTTAATAAATTTACTTCTGAAATATTATAAACGATTTTAAAAATGTCAGCAGAGGAAGAATTTTTGAAAATTTCGCTTCCAAAATAATTTTTGCGGCCTTACTACATTTGCTATTCATCGAATATTCACCGCTAGATAATGTACATTTCGAGAATAATATTAAGATTCCAAAATTATCTAATCCAGCGCAACAGAGCAAGACTAATGAATTGTATGTTCATAGACCTAGAAACAACCAAATCTACCAATATGAGTAGTCTAGTTAAGAAATAATAAAATTTTATGTTATAATGTCTTTTGGGAGAGGATGTGCATATGTGTATAAAGCAGAATTATTTGATTCAGGTATGGAAGTATTTAGTGTATTTTGTGTCCATCTGCTTGCCAAAAATTGCTTTTAAAATATTGCATATCTTGTCCTCTTTGTCAAAATATTTGGAACATATACTAGTAAGGTATAGTTCAAGCCTGAGAGATATTATGTAAATTGTAGAAATTTGTTTTTGTAACTCTAATTTTACTCATATGCTGAAGTATAAGTCAAAATATAAGGAGCATGTGCCCATAATATACATGAATCACTCAGAGGCTTAAGTACTTAATAAAGGTATAGATATGAGAGGAAATTACATACTCAAAAGATCATAATACTCTCAATGAAAATACTAATAAATTATGTTTCCACTGCGGTTCTTCTGTTTGAGATTTTTTAAGACCGGAACTTTGATACTGCTATTGTTATCGTTTGGGTTATAGAGCATATCCACGAAAAATTCCTTTTTGAGAAATGTAAATAATATATTTAAGCTTTTGTTTTAAATTCCCATTTATAGTTAAGATAACTCAAACTGTACAATTTAAACTAAGATAAAGGAAAAAATAAAGAATAAGCAATAAAAAATTCTAAAATAAGAAACAATGTCGAGCACTTCATTTTTTTCGGCTATAGCTAAATCTTCATTACAAACACAGAATTTTCTTATTTCCAAACAGAAATGCAAATGAACTTAGTTTTTTCAAAATAAATACATGCATTTAATAAGTACCACGTACCGTTACTAAAAATGTTTTCAATTTTCTCACTTCTCCAAGGCTGACCAGATTTGCTATGCGGTTTTGTGCGTTTTCTCTTATGTCGCCGCCGGGCAGGAGCAGAAGAAGAATCCCGTTGTTATCACGCCGCAAATACAGGACATACACGCACAGCAGAAACAACAGCACGCACAACAGCAAAAGCAATTACAACAACAACAACATCAACAGCAGCAGCAGCAACCGCATCCGAGCAGCAGCGGCGCCACAAGTCCACGCGCTTCGATGGCCAAGCAAACAGCAGTGGCAACAACAACACCCGGCAACAAGTCGCCATCATTGGCAACAACACATCTGCCACCACAACAGTGCACTGGTAAGAATGCCACAATCACCATACGTCACACGATGCCAATGCAAAAGCCGACGGTGACAACGGCCACGGTGCAGCCACAGGCGAAGCTGCCGCATGCCGCATACGCCTCGCCAGCCACAATCACCGCAGCGCCCATGCAAACGGCAAGCGCGACCGGCGGCACAATGCAACAACAACATCACCCACAATCGAACTATCAACAAGTGTCACCCGTTTCTCCATTACAACAACATGCACATCAATATGCACAACAACACCAACAAACGCCAACAAATCACCATGTGCCCAGCCACAGTCCAGTTAGCCGCACTAGCAGCAGTGGCAGCACAACTGGCCCCTTACCACAATTGCCGCCGCGCGTACCCTCACAAACCTCCACCGAGAGTCTGCACTCCTCACCACCAATTGGCAAAACGCGCGGCTTACCTGCCGGACCACCGCCCGCCATACCGCCACGCAGCGGCGCCATGGCACGCGCTGGTTCCTTGCAAGTACATTCCTCCGCAGCGGCGGCGGCAACGTCCTCCGCCGCTAGCAACGCTTTAACGGGCGCACGTAACTTTGTGCGCCAAATTTCAGCAAGTTCAACGCCACCACAGTACACACCGCAGGCACCGCCGCCCTTCGTAATACCCAAGCGGCGCACCTCGTTGTCGCGCGCCTCCTCGGTTGCGTGTACGGGTGCGGCAGGTGCACCCCCAACGAGTTCATTGGGCGCCATGGGTGGTCAACGACCCTCATATGGCAGTGTGAACATGGGCTTGTCACAGCAACAACAACCGCAGCATACTTCTTACCAGTCACAACAGTCACAACAGTCACCACAACAACAGCAGCAACAATCGCCAGGTGCCAGCGGCGCCAACAAACACTGACGAAGGAGTTCATTCTTCCGTTTTAGCGGCAGCAGCGGTGGCGGTGGCGGTCATGCGGGTGTTGAACCGCAGCCACGTGAGGTCTGCCGCACCATTTGTATTCCATGGCTTTGAAAAAGTGACACAGAACGGGTAACTAACGCCAGCAAGCACTGGCTGCTAAACTTTTCCGCTACATAGATGAGCTTTATTATTGACATACACAAATCGCTGCAGCTACCCTGCAGGAAAAATTTCACTAGTCTGGGTTAATGATTGTATAGGTTAATGGTCTTTACGTGAATTACGAGGGACCAGTTACAAATTAAGTTAAAAGTTCAAAAAGTTTTCAAATTTTTACACTAAATATATTATAAAGGGTGTCTGAAAAAGAAGAAATATCGCTATATAGGCGCTTATACCATTCTGTGGTTTTGAAAAAACATTTTTAAGTATTTTTAAACTATTATATTCTGAACATTATTTTCAACTTTTGCAAATAAAAGAAAAACTAAAAACAAGGCGTAGATTCTAGGCAAACGACAAACTCTTGGAAATATGTATATCTACTAGTTTATTTCCTAGACTAGAGTTCTGCATACTTGTACGTGACATACAAGTAAATCTCTAAAATTTGACTCCTAAAATTATGGTCAACAAAATTGCATGTTTACAATATAAAGAATTCTGTGAAAAGTAAGTTGCTGTAAAAGTTCTCGTAGTTGCCGAGCAACACTTCCTAACATTTGTACTTAATTCTCGATTTTTTTTGCTTTTAAGAAACAACTTTTCTAACTTATGTTAATGTACATACATATGTATGTCGTAAGTTAATTAGTCTAAACTATAATAAACTCTCTCTAAAAATTTCATCAAACTTGCACTTAAACACACAGAGTAATATTTCTCCTAGGATCACGTTTAATGCTCGACATATACAGTATAGAAAAATTTATGTTTTTGAAATAATCTTCATTTCCTTGCGAATTCAGTAATCGTCAAATCTCCTGACTGCATGTTCAAAGTATGTTATAAGCAATAGCCAAGGTTTATGTAAGGGAAGTTCCACCACTCTGCTGTCAAAAATTTCTTGAAATTATTGTATAGTTATATCCTAGTTTTAAAGTGGGGTCAGTTTGTTCCATTCTGGAGACCAAAAACGTCATACAAATTTTGATTATGAGTTTTGAGTAACGTTAACTCACACAAATTAACCGAAACATTATCCGTTTTGAATACCGTGAAAGCACATAAAGTAACCGAAATATTCTTATATAGTTTATGCAGAAAATAGTGATTGAAATTCTCTTTTTAAAAGCCTGTAAAAAAGACTTAATATTCAAAAAACGAAATTTACCAAAACAATTAAGGATGAAACAAATGCAACAAAAATTAAAAACCGAAAAAAAAGCAACTAATTTAATTATACATACATAGTTATCTAGTATATAAAAGGTAATACATTCTGAGATTCACTACTTTTTTAAATAATAGCACAAAAACTTCGAATTTAATGGGGAATACTTATTATCATTCGAAATAACATTCTTTGGCATTTATTTTTTGAAGATTATCTCTTTCAAATATTGGCCGCAGCTACATTTTAGATGGTTCATCCTTTGAGTCCAATTTTTGCTGTCTCGTTCGAGCATTTCAACTAGAAACTGGCGAATGACAAGTGTAATGTTTTGCTCCTGGCCTGAATCTAAAAGGAATTGTGCACATAGACTTTAGATTCTACATATCCCCACAGGAAATAGCCTAACGGTGTGATATCACATGATCTTGGTGGCCTATTGACCGGCACAAAACGTGAAATTATCTGCTTACCGAAGTGTTTAAACAATAAATCCATTGATTAATGCGACATGTGAGAAGTGGCATCTTCTTTTTGAAATCAAATGTCACCGAGATTACGAGCTTCAATTTCAGACAACAAATGGTCGATTATGATGCCTGTTGGCAATGTGACGGTGACATTCTCACCGGCATTATTTTTGAAGAAACATGGGCTGATGATTCCACCGGCCCACAAATCACACCAACCGTTGGTTTTTCTAGATAAAATGGCAACTCCTGAATCTCTTCGGGTTGGTCTTCGTGGTCTGTGGTTTATTCTGTCGTATATTATCCAATAATACGGTGTTGCGAATAGTACGCTCGGTAGGCTGATTATGTCGACCATAAGTAGCGTGAAGCGCGCGAAACACTTTCCAGACAGAACGTGAATTTTCGAACTAAAGTTGAACGATTTGTCAAATTGTTCTTAGTTTGTTCAATCGTAAGTCTTTCATGATGAAATACCAAACAATGCTGAACAAAAATAACAATGAAAGTTTGACACGACTCATACGTGATCTGTCAAAAACAGGCTATTGAAAAAAGTACCTCACTTGGATCACTAGTTTTGAGTAACAACACAGCAGCAGTAAAAAATGTTTCAACTTTACTTGACAGAAACTTGAAAGTAAAAAATATTGATTTTAAATGTAATGACTGTTTATGTTGATCAAGTTTCAGCCGCAGCTTTCTGATTTCTCTAAATTACTCGGAAAATTAACAAAATGGCAGTTTCATGAAATGTTTTCCAAATTTTCGGGAAAAAATTGTTTATAACAAAACTTTGGATCAGACTCTAGTTTTTTTTTTTTTTTTTTTTTTTTTTTTTTTTTTTTTTTTTTTTTTTTTTTTTTTTTTTTTTTTTTTTTTTTTTTTTTTTTTTTKTTATCAAAATACTGTGGAAATTTTATTGAAGTATACCAAGTGGTTTTCGAAATGCAGTGGTTCAAAATATATAGTTTTGGAAAAAACGCATTTTAAGTTTTACACTTAATATGCCAAACGTTCTAGAGCGTCCGAGAACTTTTTGCTAATTATTGAATAACCGAAAAGCTTTTGTCGGATATACTTCAATGCGTGTTCAGAGAATATTTCAAAGATTTCAAACTCTGAGAAAATGCAAGAAAAATTAAAATCTGACCAACGCTAACCCCTCAAATAAGTACAATGGTAATATGTACTTGCTTCCCAAAGTAGTCTCATTAAATCAGTTGTTTGTTGCTTAATTTACTAAGCTAAATATCTACCGAACGCTGAAAACGTTTAAAGTATTTAACTTAACAGATATAAATTTCTAAACTCTTCAAGTTATGCTATATAAATATGGAACCTTATATATTAATTTGAACAAAATTCATCCCAAACGCTTTTTATTTTATCAAGTTCAATTATTTTACAGTTTCTGAAACACTTACACTGTATGTACATCTGAATATATGAGAGAAAGTAAATTTTAGTACAAAATTTTACCATGGGTGCTGCCACGGACCCTTACTTTGTCTACAACCCTTACAGAACTGCAATTCGATACACTTTGTGGAACTAGTATGAAGTAGAAACAAGCGATAAAATTTAATGGAAATACTACGATGCAAGTAAAAACAAAGAAATATTGCTCTTATGTGTAAATTGAATAATTATTCACCGTGTACCATGACAATTAACATATATGTATGTATGTTTTTAATACAAACACGCAATACTACGTAGTTCCATAACCAGCTTTAATATCAATGTTCTCTGTTACAGAGAAAGAAAGAGAGCTAAACTCAGTGAGAGTATTGATTAATGTTACAGTGAGAAAACAAAAATAACAATTTTTTGTTAGTGGTACTATATAGAGTTCATATATATGTACATATACATAAATGGTAATCGAAATGTTATCGCATAAAAATCACAGAAACTTTTTAGGCTATCAAATAATTTATAAAAATATATTCTATATATTATACATGGTACGTGGATGCAAAGCTGTACTTATAACTGAAGTTGTTGAATGATTTTCATTTTGAAGCTTGTGACATAAATATTTATAGAAACATTTGCATTTATTTTCGATTAATTTCGATTATTCGCTTATTTTGAATAAATTTCGTATTTGAAAATAATAAAAATTTATATTTCATAATATAATATATGTTATATAATAATGACTAAAAAATTTGTTGTTGTCCGCTGTAAGTGTGAATATTAAAAAAAAAAAATTAAATACTAATTATGTTTCGAAAGTCGATAATAACAAATTTATGGTAGTTAAACTAATGAGCACAAACTGGAAAACAAATTGAAGGCAATCTAGATAGGGAATGTATGTATGTATGTTATGCAATTAACTAAATGTAAATACTTGTAATTGAATTTAATGTAAATTTTCTCCATGTGTAATTACTATTAATACTACAAGCTTTGTTGAAGAAAAAATAAATTACGCAAGAATAATGAAACAAATAATAAAATATTAGTGTAAAAACCACCAAAAAAAAATAATATTTAGGAAAATAATTCAAAAATGTAACAAAAATTAATAAAAATTGAGAAAATAATTCAAAAATGTAATAAAAATTAATAAAAGTCATGAAATTAATTGAAAAAGTTAAATATAAAATATTAAAAGTTAAGAAAATAATTTCAAGCTTACAAAATATTAAAAAGTAGCAGATGAAAAATTAATAAAAAACAAATAAAAGAATTAACAAACTTATAAAATGCATAAAAACAAAAACTCATAAAAATATTAAGTTTAAAGGTCACAACAAATACATATATTATTGAACAAACGTAAAGCTTTGCAAAGGAATTGTCAGGGACAGCCAGCTAATTGAAACATTGAGAATTGAGTATAAAAAGAAACAAATCGAAAGCTTTGGCAACGCCTATATTGTGTAAACAAATGTACGCCATTTATAATTAACTAAGTTTACACTACGCGTCATAAGTGTAGCACTCAATTGACTAAATAAAATTAAAATTGATTACTGTATATCACTACCAAACAAAGTGCACCGCAAAAATGTATAGCATTACTGTTTTTTTTTTATATGTATGTATGTATGTTAAAAGCCAAACTTGTTTCATTGTTAACTGTATTTAATAAAAAACAATAGTTCAAAGTTTAAATTAGCAGAAAATTAGTAAAAACAATGGAGTTGAAATATCAACATATAACATTATTGAATGTATTTTTTAAAGAAATAAAAACACGCTGAAATTCCGTCAGCTGGAAGATCATATAATTACTAAAGTATACAATACACATCTCAAATGTAACAATAAATATTAGTTAAATAAAACAAAAATTAATTAAAAACGATTGTTTGTTGTTAATAAAGAGTATATTAAAACCAATTATCCGAATAATCAGCTGTGCATTATCTGATATATTGTAGTATCAGAAAATCGAGCATGATATAAGAGAAATTGCGGCTCGACAGTTGAGTCTAAGTAATTGGCACGAACACGAATTTTTATTCGACCCAGGACTGTCAAATTCGAATGGAATGGTACCCAGATTCCTCGAATTTACTTCAAAAATGTTTTCTGCCACTGCAACAGAGATTG